TTGTGCGCTTCTTTTTGCTTTTGGGTCCGCGGGCTCACCTTGTTTCCAGTCAAGATGAGTCAAGTCTTGGAAAACTGGAAACCCAGGACCAAGGGCTTTGCTTTCTTCGTAACCCAAGGGCCTCGAATCTCTCGAAGCGTTCGCGTTCGGACGCTACGGACGGGGCGCTCCTGGCATTACTAGTAACGAGAAGCTACTAGCAATCCGGGCCCGAAACCAACACATAGGGTTTTGAGGGTCCGGACCATGGAGCGCCCAAGGATTCTTAGGGCAGTAGAATTCAATAAGAAACCAATAGATGATCACGGATGTGTCAACAGGTGTCAAAGCACGGGCGCTGGCCCCATGCTTGACACCACATGACACAACCCTTCGTCTCGGAAGCCAAAACGATGGTGACTTGAACGTCGACCTGCCCATCGCCCAACTGGCCCAACTGGTCCATTTCAGCAACACCCCCGTTTTCGGCGCAGGCGAGCGAAGCGCAGGCGAAGCGCAGCAGGGCCAAACACGAGCAGGGACGGACCTTCTGTGGTGCCTGGAGATGCCCAACATGTAATGCAAAACGTGCTGATACCTGCTGTTGATACCTGCTGTTGATCAACCAATTGAAGCGTATTACGATGTAAGGATCTTGGAACATTTGAAGCGATGCTTTTCTTTCCTTGGCTACTCGATGCCACACCAGTGCACGCAGAACATGACATGATGCCAGACTTGTGAGGCTAGCAAACTGATTGTGAGTCAGAAGGGGTTCAGCTAAGACCCTTCAAAAAGTTGATGGACAAGTATAAAGTAAGCTGTTCTATCAAATACAAAGGATGAATCGACGTCAAAGAAGATAACTATAATGATATATATGAAAGGGACAAGCCGGGCCTTCCTCGACTCACAGCTATCAATCCCTCTTGGAAAGGGAGAGAATCTGGGTGTGGATCAAGCCGCCTGCTCTGCCTGCTCTGCCTACTCGTTCATATAAGGCATAGTATGGCGAAGTCGTGGACCCCCACATCTCAGGTTTCTTCTTTTTCGACCACTTGGGGCGACTTGGGGGGTGGGCGCTAGCAATCTGATCCCGTAACTGGGCCCCCCAAAACAACCACCCTCTCCGGTCGACCGCTTGGCTGGACCTTCACAAGCTAGTACCTGGACCTTCATCGAAGCCTTTTGCGCATCGTGCGACATTAGACCCACAGCCCACCTGTGTTCGCAGCCTGCTTGATTTGGCCGGCGGAGAACACCCACTGCACGTTCACGGCGACCCGCTCGGGCCAAGGTGCACTCGCATCTTCCAACATCCTTTTGAAAGTTCGAGATGAGTGAAAAGTACCCTTATATCAAGCAAAGGTGTCTAGAGTCTAACAAAAGGATGTTGGAATCCTAGCAATTGTACCTCAAGCAGTAGGATGCTAACAATTGCTAACATCACCTGCTCTTCGAAGAAAAGCTTTGTGTCAGCCATGTGCGAAGAACGCTGCATCGATCTGTGCGATTTCAGTCCTGGTGGAAACCGATGTGGCTCACTCGATGCGTCGATGCATCATTTTTTCAAACACCAGCCGGACTGTGCCTTCAGTGCCGAAAGGAAACCACGGAAAAAGAACCGAAGACCGAGACCGACCCCTCAAAACTCTCTCCCCCGCCCCAAATCCCTTGCTGCGACAAAACCGCCCTTCAGCGTCCTCTCGTTCCGCCGTCCCTCCGTCCGGACCGAACCCGTCGTCGCCTGTCTTCCCGCAGCAATTCCAAGACCGGAAGCCCCACGGTCTCGGGCGCCGCAGCACACCGCGCGGCCTGCGCAGCACCGCGCTGCACCGGCGCCGCTTCAAAGGCACCGCCCAGGAGCTGCATGTCGTGGTAAGGATCGCCCAGGAGCAGCTCTGAACCAACATCCAAGGAGTCGTCCTCCAAGAAAGGCGTCTTCGGAGTCGAAAGGACTGCCGGACTGGGTGGGGTGAAGTCACAGATCTACAAACTTGGTCATTACCAAGTCTGACGCCGTCTCTTTTCCAATGTCCCTCGTCCATCCTCGGCGGAGCGGCACACCCACTCGGGTTCCCGGTAGCAATCCCCCGCCAGCCGCGGCGCATCGGCGACGCCCGCGGGCGGCGCGGGACCCGCGGGCGTGGCCGGCGGTTCCGCGGCGCGAGTCCGGAGCGCCACAGGGGCGGAGTGGAGGGCAGCGAAGCAGGGCTGTGCCAGGCACCTGCGAGGGTCGGACGCCCAGGCGGCTGCCAGGCGACGCCCAGGGGGTCATGTTGTGTCCGATGTTTCGGATCTTCGATGCCTGCTAGTCAAGGAATGGACTCTCGGACTGCTTACAAGGATGAGCCTTCCAAGTCAGGTGTCTTTGCCTTGTAACCTGAGAAGCTGCAAAACGAAAGCCAGCGCTTCCCTTTCTCGACAACTGCGCGTCGAAGCAAGCGAATGAGTTCGCGCAACTGCTTGCGGCCGCGTGTCAAATCTGCTTCATGTCTTGTTCTGCCCACACAGAGGTAACCATGTTAAAACAAAAACCTGCGCTTCCTGGCAATTGAGGGATTCGGTGTCATTTTGCCCGGAAATTTCCTCTGCACAGGGGGGGGGTTTGGATGGAATCCGATGTTATTTCCACTGTCTGTGCAGTTGTTTTTTGTGCTTTGCCAAGTGCGGATGGTACACTGCATCCACTGTGTTGCACATCAAGAGCACCCCAGCTTGCTTTACTCATTGTCCATTGCTTGATTCCTTAATCCAAAAAAGAAACACCTCTGAAACACTGAGCTGAAATGGACTGAACGTTAAATGTAACATGCTTGGAGCAAAGGTCAAGAGTTACAGGAACTACAATTTTGGTTTGAATTAGTTTCAAAAATGTCCGGTTGGACATGGAATGGGAGGTCTCACTGTGGGAAGTGCAGCATGGCCACATGAACGGGACTTGCTTTACAGGTTGACACTGGATCTGATCCACTAAGGTTGAGCATGACCCTACCTATGGTCTGGTTTTCATCAACTATTGCTGGGTGCTCGATAATTGACATCACCGGTTCATCATTGCACCCACAAGTGTGATAGACCTTCAGAAATGGCCAGTGAACAATGGAGATACCAAAAAGTCCAAGGGGTACATTGTGTACACCGATTGAACTAATCATAGAAGTGGAAAACCACCTGTTGGGGCTATGCCATCCACTTCTATGCTTATTTCGGGGAGTGTGCACCTAGACATACCGCCTATAAACCCTAAGGGTTGGATTATGGAAACATATTGCATATGGACCCTTGACTGACCTTCCAAATCCTCACCTGAGTCCCCTTCAGGTGTCCACAGTCGACCACTCTGGTGCAAGCAGAAGCATGCCCACAAGATTGAATCCAGCCCTTGAACGTGCCCAAAACTAAGGTCAGGCAGGTGGCTTATTTAGTTTAGTTTTAATCCTATAGTCGTTTGCATGTTGCTCTGAAGCTAGCCTGGGTCCGTATAAATACTATGTTACTATACCTCTTACACACCTACACAAGTTCAAAGCACGAATGAGACTTCAAAGCTGTGGATTGCTGCGCGTGTGTAGAGGCTATCAAGCGGTTGACGGAAAGGGAACTTGAGGTACTATACCTGGTAGCTGCAAGCAAGGTGCCAACTACACCTTTATTTTCAAGGTGGCCTGAACAGAGTGTTTCAAGGCAGCAAACCGTGGTCTCAGGCCACCTTGAATTTAGCTTGAAAACCACAGCTACATAGCTACCCTAGGTGTCTATACCTAGCAAGGTGCCAACTACACCTTTATTTTCAAGGTGGCCTGCACAGAGTGTTTTAGGGCAGCAAACCCTGGTCTCAGGCCACCTTGAATTGTAGCTACAAGACCTTTATTTTCAAGGTGGCCTGAACAGAGTGTTTTAGGGCAGCAAACCCTAGTCTCAGGCCACCTTGAATTTAGCTTGAAAACCACAGCTTTGAAGCCTCATGCGCGCCATACCCGGGAACAGAACTGTAGCTACTTGTAGCTACCTGGGTCCGTATAAATACTATGTTGCTATACCTCTTACACACCTATACAAGTTCAAAGCACGAATGGGACTTCAAAGCTGTGGATTGCTGTGCGTGTGTAGAGATTCTCAAGCGGTTGACGGAAAGGGAACTTGAAATACTATACCTGGTAGCTGCACTATGGCTACCCTAGGTCTCTATACCTTGCAAGGTGCCAACTACACCTTTCCATTCAGATGATGCAAATGATGCATTTGGCATTTCTTGCATCACCACCCCTCAAAAATCACCTCCAACACAACCTCAAAAAACCTTCCCTCGAAGCACCCTCCTCCCCCAGCATGTGCCGAGCTGACGTATACCTTTCTCGGGCCACCCCCCCCACTCACTTCGTTCGCCAGACACAACTCCGCTAGCGCCTTCTACGAAGGCTGGCTTTCGTAACTACACTTGAACCATCAATCCACTTATGGTCATATATGTATGATTTCAAAAAGCATTATCGAAATCCCGAACTGCAAAGGACATATTATATTATATATGCAACGCAACCCAGCTCAGTGTAGAAACATGTGGAAACCTTTTTAGAGAAACCAACAAAATCAAACAAAAATATACTTAAAAATAGTTCAAAAAGGGAAACTCTTCTCTTTGTTCCATCTCATTCTCAAACCCCGGGTCTCATAATTCTCTCCAGGGCACTCCTGAGCACTGGGCCGTTGCTCAGCATCCAGGTGCAGCATGCGCTTCAGGAGCTCTCCCACTGGCTCTGGCAAGGCCTCGCTCCGGTCGCATGAGTCGAAAGCCCTGTTTTTCCACGGCAAAATGCGCCCGTAAAATGCTATGATTGGTCAGAGTCCTTTCTTGCCACGGCGGGGTGCTCTAAAAAGAGACGCGCTACTATTACCATTATTAGAGATCCGCCTGTTTGCGGGGGCCCTGGTGTTCTACCCATGGCTGAAGGTTTCCCACTTCGTTTCGGTTTCATGGCTTGGCTCGACTCTCGAACCCTCGCACCTTCTTCCAGGATTTGGCCAAGGCTTGCAGTCCGTTGCTCTGAACCCACTTGAAGTAGGTGTCATTGGGTCTCGCTTGCCGCCAGGGCGGCGCAGCGAAGAACATGATCAAAATGCCTCGCTAGCCGCCGCGTGCGGAGGGTCGCGCTTCAGAGATCCACGTTGGGACGGGGACGGGGGGGTGGGAGTGCTCCAGACGGCACTCCAAACGGTTTCGGGACGTTCTGCAACGTCTGGGGTCGTTGAAAATCCGTCTCCGAACCAATCGCTAGCTGTCAACTGTGTCCGGTGTTGCCGGCGATTGTGCTGGCACGGACCGTCCCCACAAAGCCGCTGATGACTCCGAAACACCATCCATGAACCAAACCTGTCCGCCGCCCTCCTGTGCCCGGCCCTTGCTTAGCCCTCCTCTTTGGAAAAAGAAAGCAGAGGGAGATCTAACTGGAACCACCTTTACAAGACCCTTCACCGCTTTTCACTGCGAAACGAAGTCGAAAATGGATCTTGTACCAGCAGCAGGTAGAGGTTCTGTCGTATAGGAACACATGTGCGCTGTGACATGCTGTGACTTTCAAGAATTGGCCAGTGCAAAGCAACCCTGGCTGCGACTGGCCAGGCCACTTAGAATTTGAATGAATTTGGTAAATAGAAGCTTGACATAGCTTCACCCTTGTTTGAGGTGCTACTGTTGAAGGAAGAAATCTTGCTGAAACTTGTGGATGGATGATGATGGATGATTTTCATGCCCTCTTTCCGTTTGCCGTGCGGTGTTTCTTCGGTTTCGAAAGGGGGTCCTTCTGAATATTCAACGCTTCGTCCAACGGAAACGGAGAGCTTCGTCGCCTTTGGCGCTCATCCTCCGAGTGACTCACCCCAGTCTCGAACACGTCCACCGGCGGTGCCGTATACCCGTAGGGCTCTGCGGTGGCCGTTTCCACGTCCAACACGCGAACGTGACACAGGAAGTCCTACGAGCCGAGCTGAGCTGCGCTGCGCAAGAGGGAAAATGGACACTCCTGGACCTTCAAGGGGTGTCCTGGCTGGAGGTCCCTTAGTAAGTAGTGTAGGGCCTTCCATTGGTGACTCCTTTGAAGGTGCTGGTACATAAAGTTCCATGTCGGGACGTTCAATCAATCCAATGTCGCTTGGGTGGATGTTGTGGAGGAGACATGTTGACATCAAGGCATGTGCGAGGAGGTGTTGTGTAGTTGGGTGTATAACGGTGTATATATATATATAGTTTCTATACTGGGGAAGACGCACCCTGACATGGCCTTCCCAAACTGAGCACCGTCCAAACGCAGGATGCGAAGTGCTGTTGATCGTCTAGTCGATAGGGCTAAAAACCCAAATGAGTCGAAAGAACAATTTGGGCCCTGCGCGGATATTGGGAGTACCATTGACCAAAAATTGCCCACTAGAGTTTTTGTTTATACCATATTACCATATTGGTTTTACGGTTTTACATGGTTTTACCATATAATATATATATATATCCATCCATATATATATATACATATATATATATATTTAACCTATCAAAGGGAAGCCATAGCAGCACAGCAGCATAGCAGCCTAGCGCTAGCCTAAACACTGATGCACATCCGGATAAATTCTGCTAATTTCGGCCTGGATCCTCCAACATTTGCTGCAGTCACCCAGGAAAGGAGCTGCCCTATAGCCTTCCAAGAGCATCTTTAAAACATGGTTGACCGGGACCTGTGTTTGTAGTAAAAAAACACTCTAGCAATTGAAGCAATGGATTTCAAAGCCGTATACTACCTTACTAAATGATATAAAATCGACAGGTGTCTTGGTCATGTGTCTTGTGTCATGTCTCCGTGGTCCACCTGTGAGGGCGTCTTGGCCAGGGTCACCTGACCGCTGCTGAGCCCCGGCGGCATCATCACCTGATGCCGGGGGACATGAAGGAAAACCCAAAACGAATGTGTTTTACATCCAACAAACCAGCGAAGTTGTAGCGGCCAGCCGTAGCTAGAGCATGATCTGCAGATGCCAAAATGGCCAGGGGGCGAATAAGATGTCTTGAACAAGGTGTTCCAGGTCCTTTGGAAAGCTCTTTGATACCTTTCTGGCACCGCGTCGTCCCGAAATCTCATCTCCCACGCAGGAGGGTCCACGGCCTCTACTTTCATAAGCGAAACGGCCAAAAGAAACGAGAGGAACAACAACAGCAGTAGAACATGGTCAGATGCGCAAAATTTGTGTGGAAGTGCATCGTCTTTTCTTGCTGGGTCACAGTGCCCCTCTGGTCACGAATAATCATAACATTGACATGTATACACTGTAATTACACAAATTAACTATTGCCCAAAAGGAACTTAAAAATCTTGGGCCGGTCGCCAAGTCCTCCTATTGGGTGCCGCTTCTTTTACCAAAGGTAGCTGCTCCAGGGCCTCCAGGGATATCCAGGGAGGTTTCGGTTTTCATGACTCCACAACAACGGACATCCGAAACTCGGAATGCTTCGGGCATGATGTCGACATGCCTTTTGATCCTACTTTAAGTAGTAAAAATTGCGGAAAATGTCTGGTTGGTGGTTTCAACATGTTTCAACTCCCTTCGCCACCAGATACGGGTCAATGGGATCAGGTTCAGCATCCAAATATCTGAAACCACCACCCACGTCGATTCACATCCCGACTCGCCCCGGCACCCCCCCCCCCACCCCACTCCCGAAGACGTTGCCCACGGACCGTGCCCTGCTCGCCTCGAAGGTGCTGCTGCTGGGGATGTAGGTCTCGGGCGGTCGGTAGTAGGGCTTTCCAATCGCCCAGAAGTATCGAAGCAACTGCCCGGCCTCAGAGCCTGGACGATTTGGGAGAGACCCACATGGCGTGGGCGAGGTCACACGTGTCGGTCGTGGACGGCGGACTGGGGCAGACTTGGAAGTGGTGGACTGGTCGAGATTCCACTGGATCATGCGATCAGCTCTGCTACATCAAAGGCAGAACATCGAGAACAACCTCCCTTCACTATCGCCACCCCCATTCCCACCACATGGGGCAATGACTTGCTTTCTGCTTGGGAGGTTAGAGCAGAAAAAAAAAATGAAAAGGCTCTCTCATGTCTCTGGACTCTGGACCCTTGGTGTTTCATGACGTTCCAGGTGCGCAAAAAAAAAAACTCTGTTCTTCGCATCTTCTCCAAGCAACTCTGGACAGCTTGTCCAAAATCCATGAGGCGAATGTCGCCCCCACTCAGCAAGATGTTCTCCAGAGAGATGTCTCGGTGGCAAATGCCTAGCGCGCCGCGCTCGGCGCAGGGTCCGTGCGCACGGACCGGGCACGACGCGCCGGGAAATCGGACTGGGAAAACGAAAAGCAGTGTTGGTTGGAGGGAAGGTATCTGCCTGGAAGCCCAGAGGCACAAAATGACACCAAGAGAGTCAAAACATTGCGGCTCCTAAATCCCTTGATGAACACCAAAGGATGCCAAAAGTGGCTCGGCCAAAAGTCAAATGACCAAACACCCATGTTCAATGTAATCTTATTCTCGAGTTTTTTTGTTTTTTTATATGGTGTTTTGTTCATGTTACACCGTCGCCGGATTTGGTCTGAGAGCCTCGCCGAAGCCAAGCCTTTGGCCCAAAAGGCTGATGGATGTGGCCGGAAAGTATGCTCATCATGCACTCCCTGAAACGTTTTGATGGTTGCGTGGATGGCATGGCCCGTTGGAGATGACCATTTTCCGAATAACAAGGACTGAGTCATGGAAGATGGGGCGAAACCATGATTGTTTCCGGGAAGGTGTCCTCATAAATCCTTCGAAAAAGGGCGGAGGGTGTGCAGGTGAATCGCCGCCACGTTTTGGAGGACTCCACGGGTGCAGCGGAGTCCGGCATGCTGCGGAGTCCGGCAGCGGCTTCGATGGACGGGTCGAGTAACAGCACGGTGGTCATCGTTTCACAACACATCTACCCAGTGGATACAGTTACCACCAGTTCGTAGGTCACCAGTGGTTCCACTATGTGTTCCACTCGCTTGAACCGTAGACCGAACGAGGGCCCCTGGTTCCTTATAGAACTTATTATTGTGGTCACTGGGACCTTTGTAAGAGGCGCCCGTGACATGGTAGGTGACTGTCGCGCCGTGTGCCGGGTGCTTTTGGCCGACAAATCCGGCGCCGCGGCGCCGCGGAAATCCAGGCGCCTTGCTGGTGGAGAAAGGCCACGGCTTGCAGGAGCTGCCACGCCCAAAGAAGGAGCAACTCTTTCGAAGGAGGCCGCTTGGAGATCACGTTGAACAAATCCCCGCCCTCCGCATGCTCCAAGACCAGCCAGACCTCCCAAGGGTTGCCAAACAGAAGGAACACAGCATGATCAACATGTTGATGTCGCTTCTGGTCTGGTGGCTTAATTCGAGTGTACCAACATCCAACAGCCATCTGGCTGCATCAGTTTGTCGTTTGTCGTGGAGACCCCTGAGCGGTTCAGAGCCTGTGGCGACCAAGTCGACATCTTCGAGTGAATGACACCAGTGACTGCAACATAAGTCGGGCTTGATGTTCATCGGGTATGGGTCAAGATATATATATATATATTGTTGGTCAATGTTTGAGAACATGGCGATGATTCTTTGGCGGTACAGAATCATATACGCTGACCCCACATCAAGGCATTTCAACTCACCTTTTTTGCCTTTATATAAATAATATGACTTTCAAAAAAAAGGTTGATGCACCCTTTCCTCCTGTGCCTCTTGATCCATTTGGAGAGCAAAGAGCATTTCCAAGATGTACGCCGGCAGTTTCTCACACTGTCCTCGGACCATCGAGGTGAACCGAACCCGCGTCAGCCGTGGTATGCCCGGGTCAGCCGGTCAGCCGCGGTCCGTCACCCGACGTCCACGGGGTCTGCGGGGTTTCTAGAGGTTTTCGAAACCAATCCCTTGGTCTTGAGGGAACAAGGGCGGGTATCGGGCGGTTTTGACCTGTTGGCTATCGGAGCGTCGGCGGGTGGAGACCCAACCGAACCGAAGTCTGCTGGCACAGGCAATCATCACAAAGCCAACAGAAAATTAGATTCGTTAGATTGCTCACTTCGTGCCTCGAAATCCAATGATACAGTAATATAGCATCACCCAGAAAGGCAGTCAAATAATGTCCATAAATGTCCAGCAAATTCCCCGATCGCCTGCCTTTCTGACCACCCTGCAACAGATTCACCAGTTTATGCTCCATGTTCATTGTTCATCCATGTTCTCCCTTTTTTGCTGTTGGCTGTCCGTGCAGACCGAGCATCCAAGGTAGCTGAAGACCCCGATCTCCGCCAACACGTCCTCAGAGGACCGACTGATGCTCCGTTGGAACAGCTCTTGCTCGCTCGCTGGCTGTCCTCGCGACAGTGATGCTGCGCGGTGGACCAGCGCCCCTGTGAAATATGGGTATCTGGACACCCCTTGTACCCTCTCCTAGGGGGGCCTGGCAGGGTGCCTTGACCATTCCTCACATAGTCACAGTCTTTAGGTTCCAACACATCCCACCCCGCAGTCCCGCAAGCAAAAGACCTCACTCACATCAGCCAAGACCGCCACGCAGTGCACTCCTCACTGGCAATACACACACGACCACGAGACACGGTTGAGGCTCGGGGTCCTTGGTTGACTCGGACCCGCTCGGCCGGGAGCCGCTTCACCACCACCAACTTCTCACCTTCGCCGCTCCAGAGATGCAGCTCCACCTGGCCTGGACGATCCAGTGGGGTCAGCTCCGGTCAGTGGGGTCAGCGGTTGAAAACACTTTTTCATAGGCTTCCAACCACCATGAATGATAGGCTCGGCTTGACCGAACCAACTGGGGATTTTACACTACAAAACCAGGTCAACCATATGTTTAATGCTCCCGGAAGTCTTAAAAAGGGCTTCCAAGTGAGACATCCTGCTGTTTCGCCCTTGCATCTCCATCTGCAGGGTCTTGTGCTTTGGGCTCTCACACCAGTGCAGCTTGGCGAACGAGGTCAGCGTCGGCCACGCGAGGTGTGAGGCGTGGGTTTTTTCAGATGCGAGGAGCCAGGCGAAATGCCAAGTTGTTCTGTGGATTGGCACTTGGCGAAGGCGTTGTTTCAAAGGTAACTAAGCACCGACCTCAACATTGTTTCATGTTTCAAGAAGCCAATGACAGCAACACAAGACGAGGCTAGCAATTGAACCATGGTTCAAAATGTTAAGCTTCAGCAAAACCAAAAACTCATCAAGGTGCTCATGGGGCCTTCTGCCACTGGTGTGGGGTGAGATGAAGCAGGCGGCGCAAGACGAACGCGCGGGTCTTCCTTCAAAAGATGTGGGCCACTGTTCTGCGTACTTCGTTGGAATATGTTGGAATCCCTCATCGACCCACATTGACCCCAAGTCAACCCAACTGATCGGCAAAAAGTGGCAAATCCCCACCGGCCGTGTCCCAAAAAGACATCCCAGGCACCCTCTCCACGGCAACAGCTGCTGAGCTCTTTCCGCTTCGTGAAGGAACCCTTTCCGATCATCTCCTGCAGGGAGGCGTTGCCTTATAGCCCATCCATGCCCTGCCCATCCCATATGTACCACTAATTACTAATTACAGGTCCTTTAATAAGGTCTCTCAGCCTCTCTCAGACCTTCTGCCCAGAAATCGGCGCACGGGTTCGTTGGCTTCGGGCTTGGGACTTCATGGGAACGCTCTCAGAGCCATGTCTGAGGGATGAACGCTTGGTGATCAACTGGTGGATCAACCGGTCACCTGGACCATCTGACCATCTGGGGTGTGGCTGGAGATCCTCCTGCGCCCCGAAACACTAAAAGTGCAGGATCTCCGGCCAGCCACACCCAAACGGTCGGATGGCCCAGGTACAGGAGGTATGGGGTATGCTACAAACCCAAGCCCCGACCCTTGTAGAAGAACTGTTACAAACGACCACAAGATCACCGCCTTTCTCAGGGCCGAAGAGTGATGTGACATATTCGTTGAATGGGTGATTCGACATTCTTTCTGTGTCATTCTTTCCATCTTCCTTCGCTCCGGGTCCCTGGGTCGCCCTGGGTCCCTCCTTCGACCGGTCCCAATTCTCCAGATTCCAGACTCCTCAATGCGTGCGAAGTCATGGAAGAAGTTGAGATTGGTGCAGCGAGGGTCCACCAGCCCTGCACCAGTGGGACGCTCCGAGCTGCCTGTGCGGAAGGAGCAAATGCTGCGTGCTGAGTAGTGGGTTCCTTCCTCGAATAGAAAACATACACACCAAAACCACCACACCAACAAAACTTCGCTCTGGTTTGAGAACATGAACAGGTCCCTTTTGAGGAAGCCTGTGGTTTTTGCAGTCTTAAAATCCTATGGCAAGGAGGTTGGAGAGTTGGGAAGCATGGAGAGTTCTTCTGATTTTCCCAGACGCTCCAAAACAGCCCTTATAAGGGATTGGTTCGACCCCAGACCCCGCCCAGGGTTGTGTCTGGATTAATATAACATCTGATGGTCCTTTCCTAGCGTTGAACTAGGACCTTTTGCAAGCGCAAAAGGGGGAAAGATCGGCATGAAGGCGGTTTTTCAAGCGGCCTGCGGCCTGGCGGCATGTCCATTATATTGGGCCCTCCGTTTTCATGGACACCTCAGATCACTTCCAACCAAAAGGGCTATTAGACACCCCAGATCGGCCGCTCCGTGCACCCCCCAGAGATCGGCCGCTCCGTATCGCTCAGTCCACTGAGGGGGAAACCGGGAGTCTCCGGATTGGGGAACCGGATCGAAGCAAAAAAGAGGGGCCCCAAGTGCTTGGTGCACCACCAAACTGGCTCTTGACCAATACGTCCTTTGATCCTCGGCTTTGGATCCATCCTTTCATCCCCAAACCGCCGACGGTCTCCGACCGACGGCCTCCCGAGGTGGCTGAGGAGTAGCTGGTCCCACTGTCGGTGCTACATAGCTCCACGGGACGAACCTTCGCTTCCTCCGATCCGGCCCGGCACGCGTGACACGCGTCCGCGGCCAGGGCCATGGCGGACACGGTGCGGAGATTCGATGCGGAGGTTCGGTTGGGATGAAGGAAAAAAGCCACTTGAGATCGGCGATGCTGTTGGGGTGGTTCAGCAGTTGGGGCTGCAGCTACAAAGATTGCGGCAGATTTGCTTCACAGTTTTGGGTATTTCATCCATCCTTGTATCTTCTTGTCGTCAATCTCTCTCTTGCTCCGGAAGGCGCCTTTTTTTAAAACCCCTTCTATCACTGTCACGTTTCTGCCTCGTTGTCATGGAAGGCCTCAACAAGGCGAACCCACAAACCGGCGGAAGAGCACCCGTCTGACATCCGTGGGATCCGGGCCCGGCCGACGCAAGGCGATCCGAAGCGAGGCGACCAGCATCTGGGGCGGTTTTGAGTCGAACGAGTTCCGTCCCGTTTCATGTCACAAATTAGCCGCACGCAGCAAAAAAGCATCAGAACCGGACACACAAGACCAAGTGAACACCATACATGATCTTCAAGAAATATAGTTTACTGTATCAAATTCCTCTCCCAAAACATCCAACAGCAGTGTTTCGTGACCGCTGAAAGGTCTCACCCCCAGCCAACCCCACGCCGTTTGAAACCGGGCCGTGGCTCCACCGGCCAACTGGGCCGCACTCGTTCTTTCACACACCCGCCTGACAGAAGACCGTGCAAAAGATGATGGATGCTAAAGACCTCGGCGCCAGGTCAGTCCCACCGAGGGACCACCGTCCCCCCAAAGTCACGAATCGATACCCGAGGTCCGGGCGTCCGGCCCCTGGCGTCAAGTGGTCCGGGTCCGACCCCCCTGCGGTGGGCCGAGTTCGAGGTGCCCGAAGCAGATCCCGAAGCAGGATCAACCTCAAAACCACGGCAGGGGAGGTTGGCCAGGCGCCCAGCTGCGGCCTTCTACGACCCACCAAAAAGCTCCGGTGCACGGAGACTGGAGTACTCATCGTCCACTTCTCTCGCCAGTTTGGACGGTGCTGGGGTCCGGGCGTTCTGTAGTGGTTTCCAGTTTGGAGGTGTCTAGCAGGGGAGTTGGGGGTAGGGGTGCCATGGTAGCGGTTCAATTGGAGGTTCCTGGTCTTGTGTTGGGGTTCTCTGATTTCCTCCTGTCAACCCTAAGAATCCGGGCCCCTTCCGCAACACCATCCGGGTGGGGGCACCTTTTTTCGTTTTCTCTCTGAAACGTCAGTGGAGAAGGCCCGACCCGGCGCTGGGACGGAGTCTGAGGGCCGGACGCCCACCACAATGACGACCCACAGTCGCGCGCAATGAAGACAAAGGCCATATCGGTGTAGGAGTCGAGCTGAGGCCGGCATGGCAGGCGGCTGGCGGAGAACGTGGGGAAGGTCAAGGTCGACCTTAAGCAACATGAGGAAACCAAGCACTGAAGATTCAACTAAAATCGCAAAACAAATTTTACATCTTGTGGGACGTCAGAGGCCATTTCAGGGAGAACGGGGTTGATCGCTCGAACATGGAGAACGGGGACCATTGCGGACCTGAGCACGGAGGACTTTTGTGGAGAGTCTGAGTTGTTGACCATTGGACCGGGTTTGACCAAACTCGAACGACTTCAAAGGGCTTCTCGCGACTCGGTGGCACCAGGACCAGCGGCAGCCAGTCTCAGGCTCGACCAGCAAGGATTTCCTCCAAGCCAAGCTAGCATTGGGGGGGGGCGGGGTGGCCTGCCGTGGTCGCTCCGAGCGGACCGGCTTCCGGGCAATTTTTGGATGTCCATATATGTAATATTTGGATGTCAAGCTCCGAATCGCTCCGAATCGCTTCGCTCGAGGTTTTCGACCAGAAGAAAGGGGTCAGAAGGCTGCCCCACCTGAAAAGGATTCCCTCCGGGAGCGGAGCTAGCGACATCGGTGCAGTGCTTAGGGGAATCGGGATCTGCACACCCTTTAGCCTTCTGGGCAGAGAGGAAGGTCTGGCTGTTCGTTTGGCTCTGGCTGTGCCGATCATCGGGATGTTCCGATCAGGCAAACTGACCGGGATCCTTTCAAGTGGTGTTCCGGTTTCAGTCACAGGTTTCATCCTCATGCAGATACCGTGAATGACCGCTCAAACCCCTATAAATTGCACTTGGGTGCGGCCTTAATTTAGTACTGTACATGGATAACTCCTTCTTATAGTCTTGCAAGCAAAGGTTCATTACAAAGGATATTGAAATGGGAAGGAAAGACCGTTGGCTTTTTCCATCAAAGGACGACTGGTCATCAAAGGACGACTGTCATCATAGGACGAGTGCGTTCTCCGCTCTGCGCTCTCTCCTCGGTGTTTGAAGCGGTTCCGGGGAATCTGCCAATTCCGGCAACTGTTCCCCTTAATACGATCTCCTTTAAGGAAATGCACTGAGCGGAATGTATCAGCCCTTAAAGGAAATCGTGGGGGCTGATGGGGGTGGGGGGCTGATGATGCTTTCGGTGGAATTGCACTGAGTGCTGACCACACAAGCAGTGTTACTCGGCCGTTGCTTGTGAGAGCTTAGGGCTTACCATCAAAGCAACATGCTGCACCCAAGCTGTAAAAGTGTCAAGACGGTGGTTTGTCCAGCCAGGGACCAGATGCGTCACTTGAATCCTTGGGAAAGATGGAGGGACGAATCGGGACCGGACCACCGACCAAACGATTCAGCGGTCCGGGGTGGGGAACCGTCGGGCGTCGCCCGGAAGGTGCCGTCCTGGATCCCAACACGTCAATCCCCGAAACGGTCCCCAAATAGATCGAAACGGTGTCCAAACAAATAGAAAGGGTGTCGATAGATACTGTTCCTATTTGGAGGTGTACAGTATATCAATCTTACCGTCCCGAAAAGCACAACGACTGGGCCCATCGGCCTTCCACAGCACTGTGGAAGCCAAAGGTCTCCGCCAGCGTCGTTCCTGTCTGCGGTCTGCGGTCTATATAAGAGAGATACCAAGAGAGGTTAAGTGACCTTATAGGACCTTACTGATGTACCTATGGCATAGGCTAGTTCGGGTCCTTCAACCTCTGTTGGTACATAGACTACACAGTTCATAGAACCATAGAGGACAGTCATGTCACGTCTGAGTTTGGAGGGATTGCGGGGTGGAATTCGGCGGGGGCGATATTCAGAGAGTTGCTGTTTTTGTTGTTCTTTTTAACGAAGAAATCACAAGGCACAACACAAGACTAGCGCGGTGGTCACACGATTTTGTGATCGATCGAGTTTGTGTGATGGAAAGATGTCTTCTGCAAAAGACCATCTGCCCATAGCTGCATCTTCTGGAGCATCAGGTGCACTTTTTTGAAGTCGGAGAGAGGGAGGAACAAATTGCAGTTGCCAATTGTTCAAACAGAGAGACATAGCGAGAGAGAGAGAGAGAGATGGGTGGGAACGTAGTCTGGATGGCATGGGAAGTGGGGTTTCTTCTATCTAACAAAGCATGTTTGGATTCGGATGAGGATTTGACAACATGAATGGTGTGGGTCGGCCCGTTTCCCTTAGCCTGTATATATAAAGGAGCTTCAAAGGTTGACCACCCATGATCATCCCCGACTCGTACCGATAGCCATAGATTTGGTCTTTTAAGTTAAAATATGTCCTCACCACAAAGAGTGTGATTAGTTTGAAGAATTTGAACTCGTACATAATGTCATTGTATACTCTGTGTGCACATATATACATAGATATATGCACCATTTGCATCAACCCTGCCACACTTGAGTCCTACCTGATTGACCTGCAAACCTGGTGACATGGGTCTAGACCATCTATCAACAAAATAGATCCAAATAGTGCAAGACCTGAAAACGAAAAAAGTTCGGTGCTTGGCTAGGAGATTCAGTATCCCACCTCAGGTGCCTCCCTCTTGATCGTCTTGACCATGACCTTTGAAACGCCAAAATGACCCCTGGCCTGAAGCACATGGAGCTCGCCAGCCTTGCAAGAGAACAAATCCTACACACCAGCTAGGAAGTTTGACTGGGTCAACTTCTTTAGCGCGCTTGGTGTGTCTATCCTGAGGAAGGTTGAATCAAAATGGCTACAGCCTTGATCTTCTTTGAGGGGCTGACAAAGCTCCGATCAACTCCCTGTTTCTTATTTGGGGGTGGGTCATTTTACTGCAGTACACACAGAGACTCCAGAGATGATCCCAATAAACACACCAGGTCGTGTTGCCCACTTGACGATCCGGCCTTCAAGAGCCCAAGTCGTTGGACAATGGTCAACTCCATGAGCACCGCCTGAGGCACCGTGGCGCGTCTCCGCACCGCGGCTCGAATCGCCGCGCAGAAAAGGATGGCCGATGCTGTGAGGTGCGCGTCAGTTGCAACAGTCAGGCGACACCCATTTCGGCGGACTGAAGCTCACCAATGTTGAATTGATGTAATTTCGAGAATCAAGCGTATCTGGTCGGCGTCGTTCATTCGAACACGTTGGGGGGGGGGCATGTCTTTCAAAACATGGGGACGTGATAAACAAGCACGTGTATTTTGGGTGAACCACTCAGGGGGCGAAAGCCTTCTTCCCAGGATGTTTGGCTCATATTCCTGAGAACCACGCACCACCGATGGGGTGGATCAGCAAAATCAATATTTTGGTCTCGACCATTGGCCCCAGCTACAACTTCATCAGCTTCAAAGGACAAATAAACTTCATAGAGTCCGTCTGTGAGTTCTGTTGCATCCTACAATGGATGCCACCCCTGTTGTGTGACAAGAAGAGGTCCTCAGGACGGCTCAAGTCTGATTGTCAGGTGTGTTGAGTCTCTGTAGCAAGTACTCCTTCAAACCCCAAACACGCATCGAGTGCTCGACACATCAATGTTCCCTCTTCTATCAGGATCTTGCACCCAAAGTGGGACACCCCGAATCACCTCTAAGAGGCTATTTATAGACACCTCTTGGAAGGTCGTGGTACAAGTTCAGGTCATTATGCGACCTCATGCGACGGGACTCGACCTCATGCGACGGTCAAACTCCGACGTGGCCGCAGGCTGCTGACCCGACCCACAAGGAATTCGAGCTGCCACC